TTTATTCCTTCCATATGGCCTAATATACAGTTATCTCATTTTGTTCCTCTATTAGATGCTGCTTTTTGACTCTTAAGATGCAATTGTAGATTTCTCTGGCCTTATTCTGCTTTCATCTTGTAACACATGCTTAACTGCTTTGGAGCATGCTAGTATACCCCATATTATGTCTTCTGACTCTTGTTCTGGCAGCTTGTTTATCAACTATTTACAACAGATGTAACACCAGTCGAAGAAGTTGTCAAAAGGGTGATGCAAGTGGAAAAAGAAGCAGTTCTTGCTCAAGAAAGGGATCCTTTTACTGCTTTTACAAACCGAGTGATTGAGATCAACTATGGAAATTCATACTTTTTCAAGGTATGCACTATCACTTCGTTTTTAAATACTGCTAAGGGTTTCAAATTTGCATGCCCCTATGTAATGATGAAACTTTGTTTGCAGCCTATAAGAATCAGCAACCTTAGGAAAGTTGATCCACTAAAAGCATGTGAATATTTCAACAGCTGCTTCAAGGATCCATCAACTTTTAGTGTTGTGATTGTTGGGAATATTGATACCACAGTTGCACTGCCTTTAATACTGCAATATTTGGTTAGTTGGGGTTCTTTTCAAACAACTCTTAAGTATACATACAATTTTTATTACATTAACTGGTTTTTCTGTTCTGCTTGCAGGGGGGAATACCAAAGCCTCCTGAGCCTATCTTCCACTCTAAATCTGACTACATCAAGGAATTACACTTTGCATATCCTACAACCATAGCTAGGTAGGTGACTTTTATGTTTGATAATGGTAGCAAGAGAATCATTTGGTGGATTTGGTTGTGCCGGCTGCTCAACTGGATTGTCCCGGCTGCTCAACTGGATTGTCCATGGTGTTCAGAAGTTGATCTCTCTCTCTCTTTCTTGCAAACACATGCATGCACCCCCTGGCCAGCTTTTGGTGTCAGAGTTGCATGGTTTACTGTTGGAAAATTTGCTTATACAGCATATGATGTGTTTGCAGAGAAGTGGTTCACAGCCCCATGGTGGAAGCACAGTGTGGGGTCCACATATGCATTCCCATAGAGCTGAAGAAAGGAACAATGGTTTGGCATTTTTTTCTGAATGGATATATTAGAAGCTCACTCGGTGGAAAACCTGAGGCCTCTATTGACTTCTGTTTTATAATGCATCTTTCAATTGGAAAAACCAATTACAGGTAGAAGAGATTCAGCATATCGAGTTCCTGAAGAAACTTCTAGATAACAAAATACTGCAGCTTCTTCGTTTCAAGCATGGGCAGGTATGTTTGTCCTATGGATTTGACTGTTATCATCTTTCAAATTCTCTGGCCTATGTTATTCCCTATAATATAATTGTTCTTTATGCCCCAGATCTATGACGCAAGTGTTTATGATTTCCTTGATGGTTATCTACCATGTATAGCCACTGATGTACGTGGTGATATTAGCATATATTTTTCTTGTGATCCAAAGATCGCCTCAAAGCTGGTAGGTGTCTTAAAGTTTCACATTTTGCCTACTTACCTCTGAATTTTAATCAGTAAGAGGCCAACCATCTCGAATATTTACTTATGCAATAATTTTGAACAGGTTGATCTTGCTTTGGATGAAATATTACGTCTTCAAGAGGAGGGGCCTTCAGATCAGGATGTTTCAACCATACTTGAAATTGAGCAGAGAGCCCATGAAAATGGACTGCAGGTTAAATATCTTTACATTTTTTTATGTGTTTAATATCATCATTTTGGCCAATGGTTGCCACAATGAAGGATTGAATCCTATATGCACTTATCAACCTCGCAGCTAAACTCTAAACTTCATCTAAGCATTACCATCTATCACCTTGGTATTTTCATATTGATTAAGGTTCAGAAATGTGAGAACTGAAAGTAATTCATACAGCACTTAATCCTTGCGTCTTGGTGCTAATGTCTTTACTCTTTTCAGGAGAATGGTTATTGGCTGGAGAGGATTTTATACAGCTATCAGTCAAGGATCTATTCTGGTGATGTTGGCACTTCTTTTAAGGTTGGTGTCTCTGTTTTCATCTTTCTCTGAACCTTACTCTGTAGTTCTGCCTCAACTCTGTATCTTAAAATGTTTGTTTCCATGCAATTGTCTTATATTGCATCCACCTTTGAATCTGTGTTTTCATACGTTTTGTAATGGTAAAAGAAATCTGATACATACACTGAAGATGAATCTGATTATTGTTTCAACTGGATTTTAGGTTGTTAGACTACATCTAAGAATAAAGGGAAACTTAGTAAAGACCTCCTACGTCTAAATGGAAAACATACTTCCATACACTTATTCATGAAACATGCACTTGCCCTGGCAACTTTTCCAGAACCTTGTCCATTCTCTTACAGTTAGCTTATTGTGAGAGGAGTTTAACTAAGAAGTAAGCAAACTAGTTTTTACCCCATAAATGGTACCATCTGCAAAATAGACATAATTCTAATGATAAAACAGATTAGATACACTACTAACGTGAAGTTTCCTTTTAAACATTGTAAGCGCCCGGCTATGCTGGTTCTGATCTGTGGCATAGTTAGTTATCTCATATATGCATGCATGCTATGCCAGATTATCTCATTCTCAGACACAAGCTAGCGGTTATTTGCGGTTCTGTAGTTGGAAGAAAGCTGTTACTGAAGTGATAATCACCATTTATTTGATCATATATTCTTCTTGAACAACAAAAAAAGAAACGAATATGTTCTAATAGCATGCAATTGAATAGATGTTGTAATTGAAACACAATGGTGAAAAAAGGAAACTCAAGTAGGCGCTTTCAAAAGCTGTGTTATTGACTTAAGGAGGATGCAAAAGGGTACTTACTATGATGATCATTGGAACTAAAACTTTCTTTTTTGTCATTGCTCTGGTGTAGATTCTAGATGAAGGGCGTTCCAAAGTTAGAGAATCACTAACACCATTGACAATGCAATTGGCATTACAAAGGATAGTGCCTTTCAAGAATCAGCACACGGTCGTGATTCTAAAGCCTCAATCATCTTGGTTTAAGTGGCTCGGATCAATTTCACAATGGACCCCTCATGGCAGAGATGCAAAGGTCAGTTATCTTACTGGTTTAGTAGCACATTATCCAGCACTATGACACCAAAGCATCCCAATATCTGTCATGCACATAATCCACTGCTAATTTTTTTTACATTCACTCCACCTATATCTGTTGTAGTTTCAATTTTTCATGCATAATATTTTGTAATTTTTTTTTTCAATTAGCGCCATGTTGATATCTCTTTTCTCGGTTAACATTCGGTGAATAATTTATGTTCTTGTAAAAATTAAGTTATTAATTTTACTTAGTAAAAATTACAAAACTACATTCTATTTTCATAAAAATTACAAAAATACCTTTAAGTGTGAACACTGTAAACTTTGAATTGAAGATATTTTAATCATTTTATTAGTAAAAGTAATAGTCTAATTTTATGAGAACAGAATTTATTTATATAGTGTAATTAAAAAAATTTTAAATTTTTTATTAGAATATGACATTTAGAAACAAACATTTCAATAAATGGCCCATTAAGATCTGTTTGAGAATTAATGATTGTTTTGATTGCAACTGCTGCAAAATCTGATTTATTCTCTCTTAAATGGCAGATTCTAGCAGGCATTGCTGGTTTCACAGCTTTGGCTCTCGCTTTCCGGAGGTATTCACATAGATCTTAGGAAGCTTTTACTTGGGACCAAAGACCAGCAACATATTTATGTTCATGTAGAGCTCCTATTGGAGCTCAAAAAGTCTATGTTCAATTCTCCATTCCTATAACATCTATGTTTTTTCTACTTAACAAAAATTAAGATAATAAAAAATATACACCCGAACATTTTATTTATTGATTGGTACATGATTTTCATCTTTTCCTTCAATTAAAAAATAATAATAAAAAATGAACATATTCATTTCATAGAAGAAATCAATAAGCATTCTAGTAGTATTACAACCTTTTTTTCCCTTTTTTTTATTTTATTTGCTTTTGTTTGTAATATTTAACATAGAGGACAATTTATTTGAAATCAAAAAGAGTTTAGAAAACATACTATTGCAATAACCAAATCATTTTGCAAACATACTTTGTATTAGTTCAAACTTGCAATTATATGTCTTTTGATCACTTCAAATTTGTAGCTGCAAATGGACCAAATAAATATAATTAAAAAGAACATAAAGTCCAAGTCTAAAGACCACAAGGAAGGAAGAAATGCTTAGTGTTGTTTATTGCATAATGACATAATGTCATTATCTAATATAATAAAATATCATTCAACATCTTATAATAGTTAGTTGTAGATAGTTCATATAATGGAAAGAGGTTTTAACTATGACATTCAACTTGCACGGAACCGAATAAATAAATTTCCTCGCAAAAAAAAAAATATATTTTAAAAATATTTAATAAATTTAAATTAATTTTTATTTTTCAATTATATTCAGTCAAAAAATTTTATTTTTATTTTAAATTAAATAAACTTTTATAATTAATAATTAATTATCATTAATTAAACATTATTTATTATTTTTAAGATGTAAAAAATAAAAATATTTTATAATTATACCATAATGCTATTATAATATATTAATATATTATATTAGTATAATATAAATATAATAAAAAATATTTTAATTAATAAAAATTAACGTTCCAAAGTTAGTGGGCGGAAAATAAAAATCTTTCAACAGCCACAAAATCTACTTAGATTTCACGTGGGCTCCATGCGATGATCGATCAGGCCCATCTTCAAAATGAAGAAAATTTTCTCCACTAGAATTGCAGCTACTAAAACCGAATGCCGTTGGGTTAATAAAGTTTATAATACGGTACCCAGAAAAGATAAAACTGAGTTCGTAAGAAGAAAAAAAAGGAAAAATAAAGAAAAGGGACCTAGAAGTGAACATCGAACATTTTCTTCTCCAATTTCATTGTGTAATTAACGGTTCGGGCGAGAGCGAGAGGGAGAGATGGATTTGCTGCCGACAGAGAACTCGCAGATCGCAAAGAAGCACGGGTTCAGGTCCTTAAAGCTGGTAAACGTGGAGCTGGACCAAGAGTTCCAACACGAACCCTTCGGAGTGGACTACGGCAGACTCGACAATGGACTCGTTTACTATGTTCGTTGTAATTCCAAGCCCCGAATGAGAGCCGCTCTTGCTCTCGCGGTCAAAGTCGGGTCAGTCCCCCTTTTTTTCCTTTCATTATTCGCTTTGTTTTAAAATTTCAATAAACATAATTAGCTTATTGAAGACCTAGTTCTTCTTTAGGGATTTTAGGAATTTTGTTGCTTAAGCCCGGATCATATATTAGTATACTTGTTTACATAGCAAACTCTTAAGGAAGCTGATTTAAATGAGGTTCATGGCAGCTCAGTTTTGGAAGAGGAAGATGAGCGTGGAGTTGCTCACATAGTTGAGCATCTTGCTTTCAGTGCCACTAAAAGATACACAAATCATGATATTGTCAAGTTCCTTGAAAGTATTGGAGCCGAATTCGGTGCTTGTCAGAATGCAGTAACGTCCGCTGATGAGACAGTGTACGAGCTGTTTGTTCCTGTTGATAAGCCTGAGCTGTTGTCTCAGGCCATTTCAGTCTTGGCGGAGTTCAGTTCAGAGGTAAATAACTAACCCTCTTTTTGTTGTTTTGGTGCTTTTTTTTTTTTTTGTTTTTTTATGAAGTTATCTCATTTCTAGTTTTTACCTGTTTTTATCTCTTACATATTGTGCAGATTCGAGTCTCGAAAGATGATTTGGAAAAGGAAAGAGGGGCTGTAATGGAAGAGTATAGAGGAAACAGAAATGCCAGTGGAAGGATGCAGGATGCACATTGGGCTCTGTTGATGGAAGGTTCCAAGGTACTAATAGTTGCTTCTTTATCTACTTTTGTACACTTATATTTGTTGAATTAATTGATTGATGAGGCCCTTCGAGTGGAGATATTTGGCATATTCATAGCTATGATGGGATCTATTTATTAATTACCGATCTTTAGCACTAGTAACATTTGAAATGGAGCTCAGCGAATGCCATATCAGCATGCAATGGGGAAAAGAGTATTGCTCCCATGTATGGTCCTTTTTGAAGTCCTTTCATTCTTCTTATTGTTGAGACTTGAGAGTAAGCTAGCTGGGGCATGGGTTTGAAGTTTTAACAATGATATCACCAATAAGTTTTGATTGGGCTTATGACTAGTTGATCCTAATTTTGAGTTGCTTTCACCCTGGTTGATTGCAGTATGCCATGCGCTTACCAATTGGATTGGAAAAAGTAATTCGAACTGTGTCTTCTGAAACAGTGAAGCGATTTTATAAAAAATGGTACCATCTGCACAATATGGCAGTGATAGCTGTTGGAGATTTTTCTGATACGAAGGTTTGTACTTGTTGACATGCAAGTTCTACTATTCTGAGTTATAAGTCTGTTTATTAGTCAAGATTGCTTAAAAATTTCTGTCATGCTTTCTCTCTTCTGTAGAGTGTTGTTGAGTTGATAAGGACTCATTTTGGGGAGAAAAACTCAGCACCTGACCCTCCAATTATACCATTATTTCCTGTTCCTTCTCACGAGGGGCCACGTTTTTCATGTTTTGTGGAATCTGAAGCTGCTGGGGTAAGTTCATTTCAAGTCTTGCACTTTTTTGTGCATATGGCTTTGTGGTTATTGACAATTCTTAACTCTGTTTTCTTGTCATTGCCTTGTAAAAGTCTGCAGTGATGATTAGCTATAAGATGCCAGCAGATGAGCTAAAGACAGTGAAAGACTATAGGGACATGCTTGCAGAGTCCATGTTCCTACATGCTCTAAATCAGAGGTTCTTTAAAATCTCCCGTAGGAGAGATCCACCCTATTTCTCATGCTCTGCTGCTGCAGATGCTCTTGTTCGCCCCTTAAAGGCTTATATTATAAGCTCATCTTGTAAGGAAAAAGGGACGTTAGAGGCCCTAGAATCAATGCTTATTGAGGTTTGCTAGCCATTTTTTTTCTTCTTGACACGCTTATATATATGTTGCTTTTGGCGTCCTTTCATTTCCTTCATAACAATTTTCTGGTGTACTGTGCTTCAGGTTGCGAGGGTGCGACTTCATGGGTTTTCAGAACGTGAAATATCAGTTGTCCGAGCTTTGTTGATGTCAGAGGTTGAATCTGCCTATTTGGAGCGCGATCAAATGCAATCAACTAGCTTGCGGGATGAATACATTCAGGTATATCAGAACAGTGGCTACTATCTTTTCCATTTATCTAATTTGAGGTTTTGAGAATCTAGAAAGATCCTTTATCTTCACCATTTTCATTTTGCAGCACTTTATCCATAATGAACCTGTTATTGGTATTGAGTATGAAGCTCAACTGCAAAAATCTATTCTGCCTTGTAAGTGAAGATTTTTTTTTCTTGGTATATAGCGATAAACCAGGTGCGATGTTATGTATTTACACTAATTATGAATTTATTTTCATAGATATATCTGCATCAGAGGTGTCCAAGTATGCAGAGAAATTACAAACATCATGTAGCTTTGTCCTAAAGACAATTGAACCTCAAGCCTCTGCTACAATTGATGACCTAAAAAATATTATGTTGAAGATCAATAATCTTGAGACGGAAGGGAGCATTTCCCCATGGGATGATGAGTACATTCCAGAAGAAATTGTTAATATAAAGCCGAGTCCAGGGTAAAGTTGGGCTTTTCTCTACTTTGATGTATCCATGTATTTTATATCTGCAACTATTTCTACCTTGCTATGTATATCTTTCTCTTCTTTTTTAAACTTTGTTTTCTGTTAGTCATAAATGTAATTCATGTTATTAGGTATAACAGAACTTTAGATCATATTATTAAATGTGATGGTTACATTTGTTTTCTAGCTGCATTTCAACTTGCCCTCTGTTGACAATTTCGTTTGACTGTTTTGGATGTTCTCAGTCATGACAAGATTGACTATCTGCTTTAATTGTTTAATCCTAAGCCCAATCAAATCACTCAATTCAGGTACATTGTAGAGCAGATAGAGTACTCAAATATTGGAGCTACTGAATTAACTCTATCAAATGGCATGCGGGTTTGCTATAAGTGTACAGACTTTTTTGATGATCAGGTATAATATCTTTTATTGTTGCTGTATCTATTTTGTGTTCGTTTTCCTGGCTGAGACGACATTCAATTTGTATCTTAATTCTAGTAAAGTAGCCCTAACACTGCTTTATGTGTCTTTTCTTAATTTCAAGGCATGGTAGTCTTTCTAGAGCACTAGTTCATGATAAAAATATGCCTCTTATGTAGCATTTCAACAGGTTCTTTTTACAGGGTTCTCGTATGGGGGTTTATCTGAACTTCCTGAAAATGAGTACTTTTCATGTTCAATGGGATCAACCATTGCTGGAGAAATCGGTGTATTTGGTCATAGACCATCAGTGCTCATGGACATGCTTGCTGGCAAGAGAGTAGAAGTTGGTACAAAGCTTGGGGCCTATATGAGAACTTTCTCTGGTGATTGTTCACCTTCAGACTTGGAAACTGCCTTGCAGGTTTGTTTCACTGGATTTTAAATATAAAATTGTCAAGTATTAGCACTGTTCTAAATTTTTTTCTGCACATGTCATACTGCAATTTATCCACATGCATCTGTTTTATGACCTTGCTTATGGCTATAATCCCAAATAAGATCATAGGACGTAGAAGCACCCAACTTGATTGAAGTAACCATATGTTTGAAACTAGGCTCCCAAATGTTTTATGAAAATTGTCCTTGTGTACATTGTTCATACCTGCTTAGAGCTGAGGATTAGCTTTCTGTCTGGCAGATAAAATTCTGCCCTGATTTACCAAATATTCAATGTGCTAAATATTTGCTATTTTGCCCATCTTTCTGATTTTACTCTTAAGGGTGTCTCAATCATTTAGTTTCTCACTAAAACCTGTTCTGGCAGCTTGTCTATCAACTATTTACGACAAATGTGACTCCAGGAGAAGAAGAAGTCAAAATAGTGATGCAAATGGCAGAAGAAGCAGTTCATGCTCAAGAGAGGGATCCTTATACTGCATTTGCAAACCGGGTGAAAGAACTCAACTATGGAAACTCTTACTTTTTCCGGGTATGTATGATCTAACGTTTTTTATGTCACTCAGTTTCTAGGATGTGCCTTCTTTTAACGTTGTTTTGGTGTCTTCTTTTGCAGCCTATTAGAATAAGTGACCTCAAAAAAGTTGATCCAGTAAAAGCGTGTGAATATTTCAACAGCTGTTTTAAGGACCCATCAACTTTTACTGTTGTAATAGCAGGGAATATTGATCCCACAATTGCACTACCTTTAATATTGCAGTATTTGGTAAGTTAGGATTCTTTTAAGCTGCCAAGTTGTGCATTCATCTTTCCTTTTGTTAACAAAGGTTGCAATTATCCATGCAGGGTGGAATACCAAAGTCTCCTGAACCTATATTCCATTATAACCGCGATGATCTCAAAGGATTACCATTTAAATTTCCAACAACCATAATTAGGTAGGTGCTTCTATGTCTGGTGGTAATAGACAAAGTCAAGATGTTTGACCCTGAGATTTAGGTGGATTCAGTTGTGCTGTCAATGGATTGCCCTTGACTTCAAATTTTAGCATTCTCTGTGACACATACGGACGGATGCAATTTTGCATTAATGTGTGTGCTTATCAATGACTTTTGACATAGGCGAGCATGTAATTTCTATTAGCATTCTACAACCTTCTTGATGCATTTGCTGTGCTTGTAGAGAGGTGGTACGCAGCCCCATGGTAGAAGCACAATGCTCAGTCCAGCTATGCTTTCCTGTGGAGCTGAAGAATGGAACAATGGTTTGTTGTTCTTTGTCATAAATCCATACAAATCTGGGAAAGAAATAAATCAGTATCTTTATCGAGGTTTTCTTTTAAATGATGCGCCTTTCTATTGGAAAATTAAATGGCAGGTAGAAGAGATTCACTGTGTTGGGTTCCTGAGCAAACTTCTTGAAACAAAAATATTGCAGGTTCTTCGTTTCAAGCATGGGCAGGTATGCACTTCTCCTGGAATTTATGTTTATCCGTTTAATTACTCTTTAACTAACGTTCTATAATTTCCCTTCATGTACCAGATCTACTCTGCAGGTGTTTCTGTATTTCTTGGTGGCAACAAACCTTCTAGAACTGGTGATGTTCGTGGAGATATGAGCATAAATTTTTCTTGTGATCCAGAAATCTCCTCAAAGCTGGTAGGCATTATACGTTATGTATTTGCCTTTCTATCTTCCCCTGGTTGTAGTGACTAAGTGGCCAGTCATCTCACAGTTTCAGTTGTGGAACAGGTGGATCTTGCGTTGGATGAAGTAGTGCGTCTTCAAGAAGAAGGGCCTTCAGATCAGGATGTTGCAACCATACTTGAAATTGAACAGAGAGCGCATGAAAATGGACTGCAGGTTAAATTTCTTTACGAACTTTGTGTGTTAAGATTTTTTGCAGAGTCCTTTCTGTTTCAAGATTAAGGATGGTAGCTTACATCTTTTTCCAACTCAAGTGCTAAGTTATAGCAGAACTCCTTATCATCTTCAGTATTTGACTGCTTTGGTGTTCACTGTAGATAAAGATCTATGAATAAGAAAAATGATAGAATATAGTGTATCATTCAATTCTGAATGCTTTTTCTTTGTAAGCATTCAATTCTGAATGCTAATTTGCAATCTCTCTCCTTCAGGAGAATTATTACTGGCTGGAGAGAATTTTACGGAGCTACCAGTCAAGGATCTATTCTGGTGATGCTGGCACTTCATTTAAGGTCGGTTGGCCTGTCTCTTTACCTGAAGTTTGTTTTTAAATGTTTAATTTGTGACTTTCTTATGTCACATTTAGTCTGAGTGTTTGGTTTTTTGATGTTGTCTGAAGCCTAAGGGTACAAGTGTATCCCCAAGTAACAATTTACCTCATATAATGACATTGGCCATAAAGTGAAAACTATTTTTGAAGAAAAGGAGAAGATGATATGTTTTAATATCATGTGGATGACTGTTAGCTATTGTCTTGGCTAATTGCTACTCAAGCATGCCATCCTAGCATTCATTTTTTATTAGCCACTCAAGCATGCCATCCTAGCATTCATTTTTTCTTTCTCTTAAATAGAATAGAGTAAGTATTTACTCGGTTTGATTCTATTTCTGGCGCAGATTCAAGAGGAAGGACGGTCCAGGGTTAGAGAATCTCTGACACCTTCAACAGCTCAGTCGGCATTGCAAAGGATAATGCCTTACCCTTGCAAAAATCAATACACTGTTGTGATTCTTATGCCACAAGCATCTCGGTTTAAGTTGCTGAGATCACTTTTTCAACATACTGCTCATGGGAGTGATGCAAAGGTCAGCTATCTTCGCATTTACTTATTTTTGTGTTTCTGTAATGTATTCAAATGCAATGTCATTATTTGGATTTCTAAAGCCATCCAATGTTTGTGCAAGTTTTTCTTCTAGATTTCTGTTTACTTGTATATTTTAAAAAAAGAAGTGTTTCTGAAAAAGGTCTTCACAGAACTATTTAACCTGCTTGTTAAATGTTTCTTTTCACACAGCTGATGCATTTTTAATCTCCAGTCAAATTTTCCCCATGATCAATTTTTCAGGTTGTTTAGTTCAGAAGTAATACTAACAAAGTTTTCTTTGGGACACAGATTTTAGCCGGCATTGCTGGTTTGACAGTTCTGGCTGCCTGCTTATGGAAATATTCACGGAAGTCTTAAGACACCTTTATGTGTAAACTTCTTTTGCTGGGGAAGCATGAACCTTCCAGCAAGAATTAGGATTGGATTATTTGTTCATTGATGTTCAAGATACAGCCATACAGGTTGCTCGGAGTCATCATGGGAAGCAGCCACTAAACTTACCTCTGGGTTTCAGTATATGCTTAAAACAAACGTATACTCATTTTTATCACCTGCCAATATTACTGTATCATTGAATACTTTTTCCTTTTCATTTGTAACTCAACAATTTTTTGATGGTGTAAGATTAGTCTTGCTGAGGATGTTAAGACCTCAAAACACAGAAATGAAATCATTAGACAATTTAAAATCTCTTCTCCATGGTTACTGCACACTTTACAATATATAGAGCCACCATGCCAGTGGTGAAGTTTTGCTGGAAAGGGTAGGAACATTGAATGTTTTGATCTCATTTTGGTTTTGTTGAATCATTTTCTTCTGCAAAGAGAGAATTGTTTATCCGCTTAAGTTGAATTCAGAATTTAAATCCATTATAGGTTTGCACATAAATAAAACAAATTAAATTTTATATGGATTTTTATTTTTTGGTTTATTAAAATTCCAATTGGTTAATATTTTATATTCTGTTCCTTTTTTACAAAAAAAAAAGAGCAGAAAGAAGAAAATTAATAAATAATTAGCAATTAATAAAAATTAAAAAGTATAATGTTTTAAAAAGTTCTTAAAATATTTAAATAATTTTTTATTCTTTTATTATCAATATCATATTGAAGTGAAATGTGAAAAATCTTATATTGTTATGTTATCAGTAAACATGTCATTATCTATTATGATATGTAAACATTATATATATATTTTTATAAATAATAAAAAATATATATATAAAATGATAAGTAATGTTTTGATTAATAACAGTTAATAATAAAAAATACTTAATTAAATGTAATAAAAAATAAAAAATTATTTAAATTTGCTTAAATAATTTAGGAGTGTTTTTTAACTATTATGTCAAATTAAAAATTACACAAATTTATTTCCTGATAATCTTTTTTCAATCGGCACCTTGATGCTAATAAAATAGAATTTCAGATCTTTGACAATGGATATGGATTTCATAGTTAAGGGCCCAATCTAAGTGGCTGTCCACGGTCCATTAATATTCCTCAACAACACTGCTCTCATCGATTATACACGAAACGGCGGATTTTAATAGAGCTTTGTTAGGGTGTGCAAACTAGGGTTTTGTGTTTCATTTTTATCTCCGCTCCCTTCCCTTCTTTAGCCTCCTTTCTTTTCTGTGGCTTCTGCTTTCCTTCGAGCCAAACCAGGTTTGTCTCTCTTTTGCTTTCTTTCTGTCACCGTTCCCTCTGATTGGTTTCCGAGAAAGCCAACAAGAAACTGGGAAATAAAGAAAAAAAAAACTATACTATCGTTTCCCCTGTTTCTGATTTACTTTTTTTTGATTAATTTTCTATTGATTAAGAGTCGGTTTTGACGTGACAAGTGGGTAAATGAATGCAGGTAAGGGCTACGTCAGAGAGAGTGAAAATGGTTGAGAAAACAAGGGGAAGAAAGGAAGAAGTGGTGACGAGAGAGTACACCATCAACCTTCACAAGCGCCTCCATGGCTGGTAACTTAACCATTCAACTCCTTTTTTTTTTTAATTTCCATTGCTTCGCATTCGTTTTTCCTTCTGTCCTTATTATTGTGCTCTTTGCTTGGTGGGTCTTTTTTGGTTTGGTTTTAAATTAGCTTATTGCTTTCATAGTTCTTTGCTTGCTTTATTATTCTCTTCAATATTCAATGATGTATATCAATCTTATTGTTAATTTGACCTTGAGTGTTTGTGGTATTCACGTTGTTTGTGATAAGTGGGCTAGCTATTATAATCATGAATTTAGTTGGCTAAGGGTTTTTCATGGGGATAAGAAATTGAACTTTAGAGGAGGGTGTGTAAGCAATCGTGAGATTCACGACGCTTGGATCGAAAGGTTTTCTTATTGTTGGGAAATGGGTATTAGTGAAAAGAGATGCCTCAAGGTGGTGCCGCTGTGTGTAAGGCTGATTTTGTGCTTGGTTTTAATTATAGGAAAACAATGCTGAACTGGATGACCATGGCTAGAAATTACTAGTATTTTTATGGCATTGTCATAATTTCAAGTATCTCATATTATAGGATGATATTCTTGTCTTGTCGACAGCAGTAGCTATATGGAATAATCTAACTATACTCCTGTATCGGGTGGAATTAGAAGTTACTTCTGCAGCACAGTATCAATATTTTTGGAAGTAGGTTTAATCATGTACAAACTAATGATGTCTATCAAAAGGTCGAGTAAATTTATTTTTAACTATCTTCTTGTTTATCTTGGAAACAGCACATTCAAGAAGAAGGCTCCCAATGCTATAAAGGAGATCAGGAAGTTTGCACAAAAAGCCATGGGAACAAAGGATGTGAGAGTTGATGTCAAGCTGAACAAGCACATTTGGAGCAGAGGGATCCGAAGTGTCCCAAGAAGGGTTAGGGTTCGCATTGCTCGCAAGAGAAATGATGATGAAGATGCAAAGGAGGAGCTCTACTCTCTAGTCACTGTAGCTGAAATCCCAGCTGAAGGACTGAAGGGTTTGGGTACCAAGGTCATTGATGATGATGATGATGAGTGATTTATTCATCTTTAGTTTATGAAAACTTTCATTTTGTTGCCCAACAAGTTTACATCAGAGTTTTGGCTAGTGTGACTTGTGAGACATTATTTTTCTTTTATATTTGGTGTATTGTTGTTTAGACATTTAAGTTTGGTGCTTCTTACGTTTGGTTGTAGTGGAGATGGGTACTCTAGAGCTTTATAAATAGATTCAAAACTATCTTTAAAATGGATGAATGGTTTTTGGATTCAGGTTCATAAATTTTATGAACATAGGGTGGCCACGTGCCAAGCCAGAGGAAAATTTTATGTATTAACTTGGAGTTAGGTCTTCCTGCAATTATAAGTTTCCCGCAGATTAAGAGTAATGGTTTTCAGCTAAGCTACTATTGTCGTTGAATTGAACTCAGCCAATCCTGTTAGACGTCTTGATATAACCGAGTGAATACCTAGTTGCCTACGACTTACGTGAATTAAGTTAAGCCTACCTGATTATTATGCTCAATGAGGCTTGAATAATGCCCCCCATGGGAGAAAGGAATTGCTCCTGGCACCATTCTCAATGGTACAAAAAGGTTAGAACTGCTTTCAATTTAAACCAGGAGGGTAGAATCTGCGAGGGAACATTGAGGCCAATGAAGATAGCGTGCACACATTTATCTTTATGGTACACTAGCATATCAAATTGGTAAGTCTATAGACTGTTGAAACTTTATGGTAAACTCAACTAGTAAACACCCCAAAACGTTATAAAAAGAACAAGAATCCTCCAACTCTGGTTTTTGTCCCTGTTTGTCCAGTGAGAATTACCGGAGGATGACATTGTACATCCATTCTCCAACCCATTTGACTCACAGTAGCTGCTTCTAAATCCCAATCCTGCAGCCATTATCTTGTGCTGTCTGATACCCAGTTGAAACAGACTTCTAGCCAGCCTTGAAAGCATACATATAACTTCTGAGTTTTCTTACTTCCTCTGATGACTCGGAAATGAGATGGTCCACAAAGAGGCATACCCCAGATCCACTGCAAGTTCATTGCATAAGTAAGAATTTGAGATGCATAGATAAAGAAAGGCAGGAAAATAGAACCTACCTCAAGGGCCCGAGAGGAAGCCATATAACATCCCAACGGAATTTTGGCATTCTACCATGCAAATTAGCATTGCATCAGTAAGAAGTGACTGAGGATATAAGATATTAGAACATCCAGAAGGATGAATTAAAGAACAAACTTTAAGCAAACCAAGAAGATCCCAAGAGCCTCTTCATTACAAAAGAAAATAAAACTGAAAAACTGCCCTAGAGACCAATTTCATAACATTACAAATGCAGCTCCTAAGCTGGAAACTGCTGGAACTAAATGTATTTCAATGTTTATATAGAATCCAACACAAGTGTATCTGATTAAAAGTGACTTGAATCCAAAAGGTTTGATTGGAGTTGATCACCCATTACTTTATTTCATTCCCCTTAAAACCACAACACTTTCACCACCCCCCTTTTTCACCCACAATTAACCATCATATATTGTTCTTTCAAATTTTCATGGCACCAGCAAAACAATCATTATGGATAACAGATATCAAATATATGAAGGAGTTAAAATTCTGAGACTCTGATGTACCTCAGCATGTAATAAAACCAGAAAACTGCAAGCATAAGGCCAACAAAGCATGAGTACTCAATCCATCGTCTGTGATCCTTTGAATTATTAATTAGGCCCATAATGGCCATTGAGCAAACTAAAACAGCTAGCGAATCTGTTAAAGGATAAACTTAGTAAACTTACTATATCTCACAGTTATAAAGATTAAAAACCATATCATCCATGTTGAATGTAATACAAGGTGGTAAATATCTACAATAAATAGCAAATTTGAAAAAAAATTGTAAAACAATATGGCTACATTTCACCTAAAGAATAGCAAAGATATAGACTTTTGGACTAAACTATGTACCATTTCAGCAAAAAATTATAACATGTAACATGCACAATTAGCTACTGAAGGAATGCAAATCAATGAGGATAAGCAAACAGTCAAACCTGCAGTTATTATCATCCATGAGCCAACATCTTCCATGAAATAAGCATGGTATCGCTGTTAATCAAAAGGAAACGAGTTATATTTGATGATTGGTGCTAAGAACAAAGAAATAGTATACAATCAAATGGACACTCAAATGAATTAATTATCAACTAAATACAATTCAGAGCAAAGTGCATTGTGGACCTTGCCACAATCCAATTACATTAGCAATTTTATAATCACGTTCATAATTTTTCCAAGAGAAATGCTCTATAATCGTGATAAGTTTTCTGGTCATATTAAGTAATTGGGTTCTACGAATGAGCAAACCGTACCAGTTCCCATGGAAATAAAGCTTGCTGATAGATAGAGTATAGAAGAAACGCGGCGTAACAAAAGAGAAGTGCTGCAAACACGCTCTACTCAAAAATAGAATAATATGAGTAAAGAAATTAGAATTGCAAGTGAAGGGAAAGATCAAAGGATTTTTCTTTTTTTTGTTTCTGAGTTCACGAAGAACCAAAGATAGTACCTTCCATTGAAGACTTTGCTGAGCATGCATCCTTTCAAGCGATCGGACCACCTCCTCTTGTTCTGCAAATTTCGAAACATACCCAGAATCAAAAGCTTTCTTTTTGTTACTATCATTCAAATGGAACATAAATCAAATTTGTTATCTGGGCTAACGAGAAAGAGAAAAGGAAAGACCGTGGGTATCCATGGGACGAGAATCGTCGAGAGTTGGGAGCGAGAACTTGTCATCTTCAGATTTTCGGAAATTTCTCGCTAGTTTCCTCATTTTCAAACCTAATTCGTAAAAATGAACCAACTGTTAATCTAAGAATAAAAGATCCCGCAGCCGATTCGGAGTTGACAAGCCCGAGTAGACGCCATTGCCAGGTCGTCGAAACTCGAAACTCAAAACTAAACAAGGCAGCTATACGGTGCCGTTTCCCAACTCTGGCAGCAGTCCAGTTATGCAAATGATTAAAGTTTTAGGTATTTGCTTAAGATTTCTACTAGTACTAATTTCCAATATGCGTACTAACGTAGGATTCATAATCAAGTATTACAGTAACTGATTAAAGTTGTTAGAAGTAGTAGTTTTTATCATTTAATTTATTTACTAAATATAGAACTGTTAATTAAAACTGTTTAATTATATTTGGGATCACTTAAATATTTATTTAAGCACCATGGCACCCAATATAAAATCATGGCCACATTTATGTTGGTCGATATTTCAACACTATAGTAATGCATTTATAAAGTAAAGGGATGGATCGCAAGATATGGAGCACACAAACGCAGGACAAGGCTTCTTTGATAAGAAAATAATAATAATGATACTAACATATAAAATATAACAACCAAAAAGTGGGGGCTGTTCCGAAATATAGCAAAGGCAAGAATGATGAAACCGCTTTACTACTACAATTTGTTTCAATCAAAACAAAACAATATAGGAGTAATCAATACTAAGGGAAAAAACTAACATCTTTGTGTGTGTTTTTTTTAGCTGAAAATGAAGACCCAATCAAAGATCAGCCCTCCCTGGATATCGTGGGAAGGGAATAACATCTCTAATGTTGTCGATGCCAGTGGCAAAGAGAATCATTCGTTCAAAGCCTAAACCAAATCCACAATGTTTAACAGTTCCATAGCGCCGCAGGTCAAGATACCACTCATATGGCTCCAGAGGCAGCCCCATCTCTGTAATTCTGTAAGGAATAGCCACCAAAGACAGGTTCATTATTATGTTCAATCTCCCAAAGTTTCATTATCTATAAAAGAATATCCTATACTAATGATATGACTAAGACAAAGCTTAGAGGTACAAAACTAAAATACCATCATGATATAAATCAAGGAAATACTTCCTCATACCTTTCCTGAATAACATCATAACGGTCTTCCCTTTGGCTTCCCCCAATTAATTCTCCAACCTGAAATATTTGACATATATCCACTCACAAATGTGAGTATGTGACAAAGGAAAACGGAAAGATTGAGAATGAACATGTGATGTACAGACTGCAAACACCCACCTTGGGCACAAGGACATCCATAGCAGCAACTGTCTTTAAGTCATCATTGAGCCTCATGTAGAATGCTTTAATTCCCTTTGGGTAGTTATAAACAATAACAGGCTTCTGAAATTTAACCTCCGTCAAGTATCTGTGAGATAACAAGGTATCAGCATCCACATTTCAAGCAGGTAGAAGACATTGATTACACAGACTTGCATACCTTTCATGCTCGGATGCTAAATCAATCCCCCACTCCACCTCATTCTCAAATTTCTTACCACCTCTCACAGCTTCCTCTAGCAGCTCCACTGCTTCTGTGTATGATATACGTACAAAAGGAGTTGACGCAACCATTCTCAGCCGGTCAATGCAACCTTTATCATAATTTTTAGCCATGAATTCCATATCATCAAGGCATTTCTCAAGCAACCATTTACACATATACTTCACATATGCCTCGGCACAGTTCATGTCATCCTGCAGAAGTATTAAGTCTTTGATTTAACTTCAACATGAATATTTTTATAGATCATAAATGTATCTAAAAGGAGTATTACAGCGCTAGAAATACCTGAAGATCTGCAAATGCTATTTCAGGCTCCACCATCCAAAACTCTGCCAAATGCCTTGAAGTGTGAGAGTGTTCAGCACGGAAAGTTGGCCCAAAGGTATACACATTACTAACAGCACAAGCATAAGTTTCAACCTGTAGTTGGCCAGAAACTGTCAAAAAGGCTTGGCGAGCAAAGAAATCTTGAGTATAGTCAATCTTGCCATCCTTTTGGGGGATCCCAGGTTTCAGTTTAGATCTCTCCTCCAGCTTTGAGAGACTCTCCTTCGCTTTATTAAGTTCAGCCACAGAAGCAGTGATATCCGCCTTGCTTGCTTTAGCAGCTTTCAGCTGTTTAACAGCCTCCCCCCTCTCACTCACAAGTAGCCTAGCTGCTTCTATATCCGCTTCAGATGGAGGAGGATTTTTAATCAGCTCCTTCTCCAACTTTTCAGCTTCACTAATCAAAGTTGTAACTTGAAACATTTCACCAGCACCCTCACAATCACTAGTGGTTAAAATTGGAGTATGCACATAAAGGAAATGATGCTCTTGGAAGAAAGAGTGAGTGGCAAAAGCAAGTGCATTCCGAATTCGAGCAATTGCAGCAATCTGGATTTATGCATAATTACCAATAATTACAAAATAAGAAAACAATAAATAGCAAAATAATTACACAAAACTTTAAGGCATAATAATTATATTGATCCCAAAGTTATCGAATTTTTCTTACCAAAAGTTCATACTTGGTTTCGAATTGAACTGTGAAACGTCACTAGTCCGAAAATTTGAAAATCTTTTCCCTCGGCATATTTAATAGCATTAAAATTTTAAGATTCTTTTTATAGGAAATACTATAGTTTTAGAACGTTCCGAATAAGAAAGATAAGCGTTCAATTTGGGGAGAGATCCATACCGTGTTGGTCCTAGATCGAAGATGAAGATGATCCCTCAAAAATTCTAGCGTCAGCTTCGTTTTTGGTATCGGGTACTTAGCAGGATCCACCTCGCCTACATGAACCACTTTTTCGACCCGAAGCTCAATCCTCTGCTTCGTGCCTTCAGGCGGCACCTTCAATATTCCATCAACCACCACGCACGTGCCGGTCGCCACCAGCTTGCTCAGAACAGCCACGCCGGCGTCCACAATCACCTGCAAGTTCGCCGGACAAGACCCGTCGTTCAGTTCCAAGAACGCGAACGTTCCTTTCCCTTGCTCTCTCCCGGTCCTCACCCAGCCAGCGGCCCGGACTCGTTGCCCCGCAAGGCCAGCCCCTCCGTCGGGCCGGCCAACGATGGACCGGATAAGGACGCGGTCAGAGAATGCGTGGTTCTGAACGGCGTCAGTCAAGTCCATCGCGGCAAGTTGGCCAGCAGGCGGCGCCGCCTGATCTGTTTCCACCATTGGCTTTTCGAGCGCGATTGAAGTGAACAAGAGCAATGACGGCTATGGATTTAGAACCTTAAGATAAACCCTAAAAAATGGATTTTATATATGGTCAGTGGTAATCTCTTGGAGCCAGGACTACATTAGTTTGATGTTAATGTTTGGTTTTGTACACGTGTATTTTTTTATTGGGTCTAGTTAATGACTCCCGCGGAATCTTTGATTATTTTGCGGTCTGAGAGGACGAACTGATGTTAGGGATTCTAAAGCGCGTTCTTTTAAAGCGGAATCTTTGTCTCCCGTGGGAGAATCTGAATTTGTCCGAAATGCAACAGCTGTTTTGACCAGACAAATATTTTTTTCATATTTCTATTTTAATTAGTCAAAGTAAAAATCTATTATGTACAAAACATCTCGTGTTGTACTTGGATAATGAAATTTAAATTTTTCTTAAATTTCATATTATAATTTAGTTTACTGATAGAAAATTATTTGAGGTTTTAAATTTTTAAGTTAAGATAAAAAAATATTTTAAAAAATAAAAAAATAATATTTTGAACAAATATAAAAAATTCAAATAAATTTTAATTTTTTCATTATTTTCTATTAAATAATTATATTTTTATTTTCAATCAAATAAATTTTTATAATTAATTCTAATTTATCTATTATTAACTAAAATATACCTTAATTTATATTCATGTAGTGATAATATAATATTTACATAAAAGATGAAATGTCATGTACAATGTCATAATTTACTATAATATGTTAATATACTGCGACAACATCACATAATATAAAAATAATAAATAATTTTTTGATTAGTCATAAATATTTATATGTTAATAATAAGAGTATATGATTTAAAATAAAAAATATTTATTTAAAGATAATAATAAATAATGACTTGTTTGAATTTTATTTAATAATTTATAAAATTTTAAAATATTATATTAAAAATTTATAAAATACATCGACAAAAACATGAGAAGAAGAAGATAAAAGAAGAGATCCGAAAGGAAAGGACAAAAAAGAAATTTAAGTAATAATTATCTTGTTATTATATTTTTCTTAATTTATTTTGATGAATATTTTGATTTACTAAATGTTTAAAACATCTATCTTTTTTAATTTGCTAAAAGATTCTATGAAAAATTTCCTTAATTAAAATTATTTTGATGAAGTTAATTAAAGTTTGGATTTCCCAAATGTTTAACTATCTCATCGAAAAAAAATTATTGCACGTGATGATTGATTTCAGAAGCAAAACACTAGGTGATGGGCTTGCAATTTTTTTACCAGCAAGGGTCCATGAAGGGGCCCAAGCACGATTGATCATGAGCTCAATGGACACAGATCCTAAATATTGTTCACTTTGGACTTTGAATGACCCAAATTTAGCTATCGGGTTTAAACCAGACCCAAAACACTGCATGAGACTATATAAGTATGCCAAAACCCTAACCCTAGTCTTTCTTATTCTCTGCTCGCCGCCAGAACCAACCGACGAGATCAAAGAACAGACGCAGCCATGGGTATATCTCCAAAACTTCCTCACTTAACTTATCTTCGTTTACTAAGGGTTTCGCCCTGTGTTGGATGTTGATATTTTGAGCGCGTTGATTATTTCAGGTAAGGTTCACGGATCTCTAGCTCGTGCCGGTAAGGTGCGAGGTCAAACTCCTAAAGTTGCAAAGCAAGACAAGAAGAAGAAGCCCCGCGGCCGCGCTTACAAGAGGATGCAATACAACCGCCGTTTCGTCACCGCAGGTGATTAATTTTTTCACTCTATTTCATTTCTTTTTGTGGGTTTTCAATATTAGATTTGGATAAGCTGGTTCGATCTTGTATATTATTGTATATTCGATTTTGAGCTTATTGAAGTTCTTTCACGGGTGAAAAACCCTCTTTTTTTTTGTTACTTTGTCAGTGTTATGTTTGTTTATAGTTCATTTTTATTGGGGAACTTTTCCTCTAGAAATGGGATTCGCTTTTGCTCTTTGAAGAACTTTTACTGTGAACTGAATTTCTATGAAATTAAATGAATATAAAAGAAGATATGAATATTTATTAATTGAGACAAGTAATTTATTTTGGTTTGGGGTCTTTGCAGTGGTTGGATTTGGCAAAAAGAGGGGACCTAACTCATCTGAGAAGTAAGAACTGTGAAGGTGAAGAAGGCAAGAATTTGCTAGCTTTGATGGATTAAGTCTTGGTTTTTGTGTAATGTTTTATGATACTTAATTTTTAGCTACCGGTGTCAAGGATTCAGTTGAACTTTCATTTTGTTAGCTAGAGATGATGATGTGATTTTGTTATTAATTATGTTAATTTTTGGTTTATTATGAGTTTTGTTTCTCCTTCATCCAAACCAAATTACTGCTACTGCTATTCCCATATCAATGCTTAAAAGTTAAATCTACGTCTTTCAATAATGAATGAATGAATGATTGTTTCATAGTGTTTAATTTCACATTTGATTCTAGAATTGATTAATAGGTAAGGCTATGGTTAAAAAGGTTAACCAGTGTTATTCCTTGAGGAAGGAATCTAGCTGAACCATTGATGAGGGATTATGCTCTCTAGTTTTGCTAACCTTTTGTCATTTAAATTGGTATCCCATCGAAGAGAAGTATTAAATATGCATTTGACGAGTCTCATTCTCTTTCAATTCCTCAATTTGTGTTTTGCAATGGTATCATGGCGTTCACTTTGTGGGCATGTGCTTCGAAATCTAATAACAAGGTTTTGAATCCCATGGGGTTTATCCACTATTCGCCATACTCAACGGAAAAGGGTTTACACCTAACAGGAAATGGGTAAATGATGTTAGAACAGTGTTAATCTATATCAAATACAGTGAAGCTATTGTGTTTCTCTTAATTTCTTCTCCTACTGGCCTACCGATTTTGGAGGTTTATTTTTCATCCGCCGCAGAGCAAGTCTAGCTATCCTAAAAGAGATTAATCAAGGACATCATACCATGCCATTGCTAACACGTTAATAGTTTTCTTTTTCTCATTCAAAATTCTGACAATTTTTTTTCAAGCCTCCAATATTCAATACGAAGACGAGATGGATTCCATTGAAAAGACAAAGAAACAATAATATTTTTTGAAAAAAAAAAACCTCCTCCCAAATAATCAGTTCTTTTTTTAAAAAAATTTAAACAAGGAAACGAAAAGAAATAAAGAGAAGGAAGTCAATTTTCAACTCCGAGACGGCCGTCAAGCACAGTGGATGCGGTTGCAGTCCTTAAGCATCGCATCATTCCTTCGTCCCTGCAATGAACATGCAGTCAATTGTACCTATACTCGTGTTGAGATTAAGCAATATATTAACAAATGGTTATAACCAAGAGACAATTACCGATTCCATTGATTTGTTGCAATATGTAATCACTGCCTTTAAGTTCTCGTCACGCTCTTCAGCGCTCATCGCACTATATGCATGATCTGGTGAAGCCCTAACTGAATGAGTAGAGCTAGTTTTGGAAGCTGCGACAGAATCTCCTTTGCTTGATTGTTGTTTGCTTTTGGGTTTTGATCTTGCAGGACTGTAACATGTCAAATACTGCTTCACCGCCTTCCAAAAACTGGCATGACTTTTCCTAGACTCTGCCGCGGGAGAAGGTGTGGCAAACATCAGAGCATTGGATAGTGGTGAGAAGGATGAGATGGTATCGGTGGAAGCTCTGGGATGTTGAAGGGTTTTATTCCTGGAGGAGGAGTTAGGACTCAGAACCCAAGCATCATTGGAGGCACCGTGGAACCCCATAGGCCAATCTCTGCGTCTTTTCTAACAGAGAAGGTGTTTTAAATTCTTCTCAAAGAAATTTCCCCGTGTCCTCGACTGCCTATTAAATGAAAATACCTACTGCTAATTTTTGCAAGTTTGAATTTTACTACACATTTATAGGCTATAAAACTGATGTTACCATGTACATGTACATGTTGTTTACTTATTTACTAAAGTCGGCTTCGTTTGAGAGAGAATTATGGGCTGAATCGATTACTGCTCTAGTTTTTGTTCCTGTTGACAGCTCAACTTCCTAATTGGACAACACTTAGATTTATTGGCTCAATGATTATTTCCTTTTGGGATTCAGCCGCTAAAAGGCAAAGAGCCTATGGCTAGCGTGCTCCTACTTGGATTTCAATGAATCTGAATTCTACTAGTAGTAGCCTGCTCTGATGTGCATCCATGAGCATTGGAAAAGTTCACACGATCATGCAATTTTCTTCTTTACTATCTGGAAAAAGAAAAATATCGTTTCTCCATCAATAAATATGTTATAGTCATTGGATTTTTGCTTCCGAACCAGTCTCGTCCCTCTGAGCGGGGCTATTTCCTCGCTTCGTTTATTCATAAAAAATGTTGACCGGTAGGAATGACGGCGTGCCGTTTTTAACAGGGTAAATCAATGGTCATTAAATTAAAACTCTTATTATGGCAGTTTTTAATACTTATACTCACTTATGGTAGATTTAGGCCCGATTAGGTTTTGAGTAGAATTTGGATAGAAGAGTTAAGATATCCTTTATTCGAAGTCGATTATTTTTTAATAAAATTTGATTAATTTTCAAACTAACTCTGTTTTATTAAATCTATTTAATGAATTATAAATTTTTTTTTTGGATTTTAACTCTCATTTCTGTTGATAAATTAAAAGATTATTTTGTAAAATTTAATAACATGTTAGAGTTTTTATTTTTGATATTTTAATTTTAATTGATTTTAATTTTAAATAATTTAAAAATAAATAAATATACAAATCGTTACAAGTCAATATTGTTAAATGAAAGCATTAAGAATTACGTGAATGACGTACTCTCATTTATTAATTGTCATTAGTTATGAGGAATGAATGTTGAGTCAGCATCAAATCAAAATATAAAAATCCTTGTATCATGATCTTACATAAAAAAAACATGAGATGGTTTGAAAATTATAAATAAAAACCTTCCTCCAATTATAAAACTTATTTTTTAAAATTAAAAACGTCTATGACAAGTACTATTTAAACAAAAATCTTCACTAATGTGAGACTTTCTTGAAAGATATCGAGATTAAATAGATCCAGAGTAATGTCAGAGTCTCTTTTTTCTACGAGTAAAAAACGAATACAAAGAAAACGTTGTACAATTAAGTGAAGTAAAATGTCCTAAATCATGTCTTTTTAGTTGCAAATGTGAATCCGTGACACTTGCACTAAGCAATAGAAGATTGGGTTGATCAACATGCTTGACAATGATTCAAACTTAAGCACATAGCTATTGCTAGCATCAAACTCAAATTAGTTCATATTCGTTAGGATGAGTTATACAACTAGACACAACTTGACATCACAAGAGTTTTATCTGCTCAGAGTTCATCATGATAACTTCCTTTTGGTGGTGAAGTATGCTTGGGTGGATTTTCTAAGAGGTACCTTGTTGCCAACGATGCATGTAGGGCTGCACCATATGGAAGTATATCTTCATTCACTCTATAGTAGGGTGAGTGCCCTGAATGAAATTGCCCTTGGGTCTCATTCTTCATTCCAAGAAAGAAGAAAAGTCCTGGAATAGCCTCTGAAAAGAATGCAAAATCCTCTCCTCCCATCTCTGGTTGCATTTCTATGATGTTCTCAAGGCCCAACATGTCTCCTGCAACCTTTCTGAAATATTCATGCAACTCTTTGTTGTTTAAGCTCACAGGGTAAGAAGACTTCTCATCAAAGATGACAGTTGCATTGCATCTCTGTACACTTGCTTGTTTCATAATAACCTGTAACTTTGCTCTGTAAGATAACATCCATGACAGCGTACTCTATAACAGAAACTCCATTCCTTGTTAAATCTCTCTCTCTCTCTCTCTCTCTCTCTCTCTCTTATATAGGAGAAAAAGAATAATCCCTCTGAGAGAACAGTGCAGAGGAGGAAAAGAACAAGAGCAAAAAAATTATGGAAGTATCTTAACCTTTCAACACTCAGTCCTCCTGGTTATCAACAATAAAGCTATTTAGATTAGAAGTAAGAAAAAGACGCACCTCCTCAATCCTTTGTTTGAGTTGAACAAAGCTTTCTTTTGAAAATGCCCTGAAAGTGCCACCAATGGTAACAGAATCTGGGATGACGTTAAATGCACCACCCCCTTGGAATTTTTCAATGCTTACCACCTGCAAGAAAATGTTGTTTTCCTAGTTAATGAGACAAGTATCATCATTTCAAGAATAAAGTATCTCAAATCTATACAAATATCTTAAGCTGAATAGATATTAGAAGCCCAACAAACAGAAAACGGGAATTTAAGCAATAACAGAAATGAAACCTATCAAAGTAGTTACTTGAACAGAAGGGAAATCTAACAAATCTAAGAATCAAAGAAACTGATATAACATGTGCAAGATAACGCTATAAATGAAATGTATTTATTTCAAAATCAAAAGAGGGAAAAAAGGGGAGAGAGGGAAAAGAGAAACACAACTTCCATTACACCACACCATAAACTGTGCTGCAGAAAAATTGCCTACAGGTTATATAAGCTGAAAATTATTAAAATAAAAAGTTGATACATAAAACAATTTGTAGGTGCCCTTTTCTTGAAAAAACAAGGATGGGGGAGATTAAATATTTAAATGGAGTTTGGTAAAGTGGGTTGGCAGCTGCTCCAAGGTGACACTTTTGTGCTTTTCTAATTAACAGGGAGCAAAAGGAACATATACAAAGAAAACTAAATCTAACTCTGAATGTTAGAGCGCACCCCAAGAGTGCGAGAGATTACCTGAGAATCCAAGGGATCAGCTTCACGTGAAATTAGATGTTGCAAGCTAACAATCACATTGGAAGCTGCTAAAATTGGGTCTACTGTATGCTGAAGAATAGCAGCATGGCCCCCTTTCCATTAATTACAGCCTCAAAGAAACAGGTTGCAGCTAAAATTGCGCCAGGACGGGAGGCCACAACACCAACTGGGAATCTAGAAGATACATGGAGTGCAAAGATGGCATCAACATTCTCTAAAGCTCCGGCATCTAACATTTTCTTGGCTCCCCGCCCCCTTCCTCAGCAGGTTGGAAAACAAGAACAATTGTTCCCTATTACAAAGCAATTTTAAATTTAACGATACCAGCAGATGTATCAAACCATGCAGCCTGAGTTCAATTAAGAAATGTCAACCTATAAAACATCGAAACTGCCAATGGATGAATTGCTCATTTATTGCTAACAAAAGGTTTCAAATGATGCATACACCACAGTTCTCAAAAAGAAATCTAGAAAAACATAGAAGCCAAGAAAAGTATCTTAAGTGAATCACTTCAAGTTACGAGCAGTAGGTTGCTCCATCTGCAGGTTTTCCAACATCCCACCCCCCGCCCCCCAACTTAAAGAGTGAGAGAAAAATATGTACAACATATTAACAAGCTAATATTTTGCAGAAAAATATATAAACTAATAGAGAACATTATAGAAAGGAACCTGCAAATCATTTCGATGTTCTTGAAGCATCTTTGCCGCACCAAGAAGCATAGCAACATGAGCATCATGTCCACAAGCATGCATCTTTCCAGGAACCTTGCTCTTGTGCTCCCACTCCACCAGTTCCTACAACATCAATACCCAACAATTCCCTCCCACATTAAATTCATATGAAAGCAACTCTGATCATATGTAAACAATAATCTAAGGTAATATGTTTACCTTTATTGATCCAAGAAAGGGGTATTTTTATCTTAATTGTTAGCTCTTAAACCCAATAATATATGATGAAACCCATAACAACATAAAGACAGACTACCTCCATTGCAAGAGCATCCATATCAGCTCTAAGTGCGACAAAAGGAGGCTGGCCAGTGCCAATATACCCAATAATACCAGTAACAGCAACTGGGAATTTGTAGGGATACCCATCTGATCAAGCTCAGCTCTTATAACCTTACTAGTCTCAAATTTCAAAAAAAAGGGGTAATATTCTCTAAGGAAATATTTTATCTTTATTCATCCTAAAAAAAGCAGGTAGTACTATTTTTATCTCAACCGTAAGCTCATAAACCCAATAAAATATGCTACTTGATGAAAGGGATGCCATTGTCTAAAATAAACAACATTTAAATAGACTACCTCCACCGCAAGAGCATCCATATCTGCTCTAAGAGCAACAAAAGGAGGCTTGCCGGTGCCAATATAGCCGACAACGCCAGTCACAGCAACTGGGTATTTGTAAGTGATACCCATCTGATCAAGCTCAGCTCGTATAAGCTTACTAGTCTCAAATTCTTCAAACCCAAGTTCAGGATTTTCATGTATTTTTCTTCTAAGACCAACCATCCAATCCATAATCTCTGGTTTTTTGACAAACTCAAGGAAGTTGATTGGGATTTGAGCTAAGGCTTCCTTGTTTAGTGAAGGGTTTGAAGAAATGGGTCTTGGCATAGACGAATAAAGAGTGAAAATCAGGAACACCCATTTCAGGAAAGCCATGAAATTGAGATTTGGATTGCAGAAATTTGGTTTTGAAGACAAGGAAGTGAAGGAAACAATGGCTTTTGTTGGGGAACAGAAAGTGGAAGCAAAAATAGTTACTAATAGCTACCTGAAAGGATCAAGAAAAGAGGCTGTTGGGCTACGTGTGAACTTATCGGGGTCGACGTACGGTACTCAACAGTAAACTTTTTTCATAGTTGTGAGAATTTACTGTATCTTTGCTTTTTAGTTTTTACCTACATCCTCTAGAACAAAAAATTAAGACATTTATAAATTATTAAATAAGATCAAAAGAATTTAGATTAATGTTTCTAAAAAATTATAAATTTTAAAATTTTTATTATATTAAATTAAATTTTTATATTTTTATTTTAAACAAATAAATCACTTTAATTAATAACTTTTTTTAAAAAAATAATATAATTAATAGTGGATTAATTATTAATCAAACTATTATTGATAATTTTTTATATTTATATAGTACTGATGTAAAAAAAAAAATTATAATCATATAA